CTGAGGCTGAACCCACTTGTTCTGGCTTTGTTTAGGGTTGCAGAGTCTGGCCTCCTGTGGTGGTCTTGACTTGGAATCACTAGGAAGCATTCACTTTCCCAGTACTGTGCCTTGAAAATAGTGGCCCACTTTTCATTAGAGAACCAGAAAGTGGTCATTACCACGAATTTGTGTTAATGCACTGGCATGGTTGGCATGGCTGGCACAGACGGGCACTACGTAAACGTTAAGTTTAGGGCTTAAAAGGTTTGCTATGCCAGTGCCAGGAGACTCAGACTCTCTTTTTATTGCCTCAGGTTCACGGGTCAATGGCACTCACGGTCATTTAATTTCCCTGTGCCTTAGAACTGAGTCACTCAAGAGACAGTGTTAGAAGTGGGAAAGGGCAGCCACGCAGCAAGAGGGGGCACTGACATCAGTGTTTTGGGGAGATGGTCTCAAGTCCCCCAGAAGGCCCAATGTCCACAGTTGCAATAATTTGCTGCCCTCCCTTTCTCCTCTCTGTTCTTTGAGACAGGGTTTCTCTGAAGACCAGGACAGCTCTCAAATCAGGGGGATCCATTGCCTGCCTCTGTGCTGGGATGGTGATCTGTGTCTTCCGAAAAAGATTCCTTCCAGCTTTTTATTTCTAATTTTGTATTCTTTTCCTTAAAAAGCATGAGCTCTCGAGTCGAGTGGTGGTGGTGCATATCTTTAATCCCAGCACTGGGGAGGCAGAGGCAGGTAGATCTCTGTGAGTTGGAGGCCAGCCTGGTCTAGAGAGTGAGTTCCAGGACAGCCAGGGCTACACAGAGAAACCATCTTGAAAACAAACAAAAAAAGCACAATCTCTCTCATAGTCTAGTTTCTTCCCAGTCTTAAAATGAATGTGCACTGTAGCCAAGTGGTCTGTTCGCCACAGTAAAACTTCTGTAGTTTTAAAAATGTTTCCTTTTGAGGAGCAGGGATAATGCATTCTAGACAGAACTAAAACAAATGAGACAACCAGGGCCAAACAGCAAGACCCATCTCTCTCTCTGAGAACCAACGGGACAAGTAGAATCAGGGAGATAAATCGCACTGGTCCTGCTGTGTGGGTCAGGAAAGCTGGTGATCAAGACTAGGATGAATGAGTAAAGGGAGTGAGGAGAGGGAGGGGCGGGGAGAGAGGGGCGGGTCCAGTGGTTAAGGATGAAGGTTTGTAGAGGAATTCATTTAGATCCAGCAGGAGTAAAGAGGAGTGCTGATGTAGAGAAGGCTGGGGACCCGGGCAGCCAGGGCGCCACTTCCTGAGAGGAGGCCTGCAATAATAGCAGCTTTAAGGCAGCATTGCGGCTCAGCCTGTAACCCCAGCGCTTGGGAAGCAGAAGCAACAGGGACACCAGGAGCCCAAGGCCAGCTTGAGCTGCACAGTGAGTTCCAGGCGAGTCTGGGTTATAAAATGAGACACCACCCCCAAACAGAAAACAGACCCCCAAATAAACATAAGACACAAACCCTCAAAACAACAACAGAGAATAAGGGCAGCTTTAAGCCGTTGCCTGTCTTGCTCCAAGAGGCAGTGTTGGGTGGGCTGCAGGGCTGGTGGGCTGCGGGGCTGCGGGGCTGCGGGGCTGCGGGGCTGCAGCGGTCCAGTTTGCAGGACAGGCTGACCCCCGACACAATTTTGAGCATCACTGCACAGAGTAGATAGTTTTTTGTTTTTCACACATGGTCTCATGTATCCCTCTCTTTTTTTTTTTTAAGGCAGGTCTCCCATAGCCCCGGCTGACCTGAAGCTTGGGAAGACCCTGAATCCTGATCTCCCCACCTCTACCTTCTGAATGTTGAGATTTAAGGGATGCACCACCACACCTGGCTAGTGAATGTTTTTTTGGTTTTTGTTTTTAAAAACAGTGAGAATGGATGTGAATTTAAGAGAAGAGGGGAGAGAGTGTGAGACCCTAAGATGGAGCCCTGGGGAGCTCTGGTACTTAATGATCAGGCAGAGGAGCTGGACTATGTGACTAGCGGGAAGCAGGAGAGAAAGAACTGTGCTCCCGCCAGGAAGGCAGAAGTCGCCAGCAATGTCGGAGGCTGCGCACATGCTGAACAGGCAACACAGGACACTGGCCTTTGGGTTTGGCACAGAGCTTAGCAGGGCCCTAGCTAGATACAAGAACCTCGGCACACGACAGAACTTGGAATCGATCAGAGTGAGGTTAACGAGGAAGCGAACATAAACACGAAAGAACACAGACAGCCCTGGAGCTGTCAACCCAACTCTCTCCCTGACCAAAACCTATGCGGCGTTTGCTTATTTCCGTAGACCGTAAGATGCAATGACCCCTACCCCACATGAACTGCTCTCCAAAGAACTGGAGGGGGAAAGAAAGTTCGCCATTTTATTCTGTGGTGAGGCTGTGACAACCTCATCAACTCTGGCCGTGACAACCAAAATCAGACAAGGAGTTTGTTTGTTTGTTTGTTTGTTTGTTTGTTTGTTTTGTTATCCTTTCCTTTCCTCCTCCTCTTTGTTTTGAGACAAGGTCTCATGTAGGTAGACAGGACTGGCTTCCTCATCTGGCTGAGGAAGACCTTGAACTTCGGATTCTCTACTCTTACTCCCAATGCTGAGATTACGGCATGTGCCACCACACTTGGTGATCACGCATTCGAGAGAGCTGGTTATAGGCCAGCCAGAGATTCCTGGAATAGTCAAAACTCTGTTTAAAACAAAAAGAGAAGGTGGCTGGAGAGATGGCTCAATGGTTAAGAGAACTGGCTGTTCTTCCAGAGGTCCTGAGTTCAATTCCCAGCACCCACATGGTGGCTCACAACCATCTGTAATGAGATCTGGCGCCCTCTTCTGGCCCTCAGGCATACATGTAGACAGAATGCTGTATACATAATAAATAAGTCTATTAAAAAAGGGGGGGAAGGAAAGAAGAAGGAAGGAAGGACAGATGGATGTATAGGAAGAAAGTAACAAAACATTGTCTTTCTAAAAGATAGGGTTTTCATTTTACTCTAGCTGGCTTCAAACTCACTGCGGGTGACCTTGAAACCCTGACCTGCCTCCATCTCTCCAGAGCTGGGATTCAGGCACATGCCTTCACACCCAGCAGCAGCATGAGATGCCATCTTTACAATTAAAAGGCTCAATATCATCAAGCAACCAAACGGCTCAAACAAAATTCTAAGTCAATATTCTGAGTCAGGTCTGGCACTTTACAGACCCACACGGAACTTTCTGCAGACCCAGCGGAACTTCCCACTGGTTCAGAAAGACTGAGCACATCTCCTCTTCCTGTTTGCTCAGGAGCTGTATGGGGCTCCCTGTCCTCTCACTCACACTCTCTCACTAGAGAATTTTTCTGTGGGTGATTTAGGGGCAGACTCTTCGTAACCTTGGCTCAGCATTCCCTGGGTCCTGCGGGATCAGCTGACGGCTCTCTGCAGTGTGCTAAGGGCCGCCTCTGTAGGAGAGCTGTGGCTCTTCACATCTAATGCTCAGGGTAAGTTTAATTTTGAGTGATGTCTTTGCAAACCCTTTTTATTACAGATCTAAAGCCACTTTTTCCAAGAGGCTTTATCAGTAATAAAACTGACATTTTGATTGCATTAGTCTGTCTCTTGTATCCTCGCTCTCAAATGGCTCCAAATGTCAAGGGAGAAGAGGGATGCCATTTATTGTGCATCCTCAAACCACAAGCAGACGTACAGCAATTACATCTTATAATAATTAAGGAGGGGGTATGAGCCTCTGGAGAGAAGTAGAACAGCGAGGCAGAACAGGCAGTGTGGACACCGACGGCTGGGCACCCAGGAGAGGTGGTCCTATCCAGCAGCGGGGGGAAGGTCCTGCAGTGATGACGCAGCTTCAGTCTGTGCTTAGGATGGAGCTGACTCTTCTGGGGAAGAATCAGGTAGGGCTGTGGCTGCCTCTTTCCCTGATATCTTAGGTGGCTAACACTTGTGTTAGGATCACCTGAATTGTATGTGCTGAAGGCAGGGATGGAGCATTACATGACAGCCAGCCTCTCAGAGAGGCTGGCTCAGTAACAGAGACAGGGACACATGAACATTTGCCATCACAGGTACTGTTATTGTTTTGCATTGAACCTTGATTCTTTTTCCTGTATTTGGGCACTGAGGTCAATATCAAGCTTTGATGGCTATTTTGATATTCTGAGTAGAATGCTTTCAACAGCAGAGCACTTGCCTAGGACGACTTCTTTTTAAAAAAAAAAAAAAAAAAAAGGCGCCTGAAACCTGTCATTCTGATGGTCACATGGGACAAGGACAAAGGCCAGACATCTGCCAGAGATGCTATCTTCTCATCATCATCAAGGCCTGTCTTCATGGCTCAGGAGAGAACGAAGCCAGTACTGTACTTTCTGTCTCACGTCTTAGCTCATCCTCAGCACACTGGTGAGATGAGCAGGCAGGGATTGACAAGGGGGAAATCAAGGTTCGGGGAGGCCAGACTTTAAACCCATACATTCTACAAGAACATCTGGGCTCGGAAGCCAGAGCTTCTTCCAGGAGCCCACCACTGTGAGTCATCACCTTCTCAGGATTTGGTAAGTTATCGCCCGCTGCTCCAGGTCACAAACTTCAGGATCCCTAAACGTCATGAGCCCAGTTTCCATTTACTCAGGTCATGTGAGTCTCTTTAATGTTGAGGCTTTAAGTGATAATCAGCCCTCGTGGGACATGGTGACAAAAGGCACATTTTGGTAGCATCCTTTGGCTCAGACTCTAATTCTAGCTGCTGGTCCTGATGCTCATTTGAAGGGTCCACTCTTCCCAGCTGACCCCCCTTATTACTTGCCTCTCCCCAGAGGGTGCTGTGCTCGCTGCCTTAGCTAGGCCGGGGCTTAGGTTACAAGTTGAGATGGAGGCCTATTCTTTTCTTCAGATGCCTCACTGCAGAAGAAAGTCCAGCGGGCAGGTGCAGAGCCATGTGGATGCCCAGCAAGCTTTCCAGGCGTCTCACCCACATCCCAGACATGGGTGTCAGACATAAAGATACTCACCACCTGACCATGAGTCCATGCTCCATGAAGTTTTTCAGGTTAGGAAGGGTTTGCCTCAAGTCTGGAGTCCCCAGGCCATGCTGGTATCTCAGCTGCAACAGGAGAAGAGAATTTTAAGATGTTTTGGCAGATTCTACACAATGTTCAGGAAGACCTCTGAAAGAGCAAAGATTTAAGTGTACGACTTAAATCAACTGCATCAGAGGGACAGCAGTTAACGGCTCTTCACATACCATTACCTTCCTCACACCTTCAACTTGAAAACCATGTGGCCAACCACGGTTTTGATCTAGTCTTTTCCATTCCTAGACCTTTGTAAGTTTTCCTAACACCACAGATATACCTCACAGGAGTATTTTATTTAAGTTAGAAAAAGGATCACTTATTTTATTTTATGACTGTACTGCCTGTATGTATGTATGTATGTATGTATGTATGTATGTATGTATGTATGTATGTATGTATGTATGTATGTATGTATGTATGTATGTATGTATGTATGTATGTATGTGTGTATGTATGTATGTATGTATGTGCACTACATGTGGGTCTAGGGCCCACAGAGGCCAGACCAGAGTTTAGGATCTTTTGGACCTGGAGCTACAGGAGTAAACAGAGTGTAAACAGAGGTAGAACCTTTGTCCCAAATAAACACACAAAAGTTTAGATTTATTACAGAACACTTGGCTGACGGTTCAGGCTTATTACTAAGTAGTGCTTATATTTATTTATTTATTTATTTTTATTTATCTATTCATTCATTCATTCATTCATTCATTCATTTATTTATGGAGCTGAGAATCGAACCCAGGGCCTTGTGCTTGCTAGGCAAGTGCTCTACCACTGGGCTAAATCCCCAACCCCCGCTTACATTTAAATTAACCCATTTCTACTACTCTACGTATTGCCATGTGGCTGTGGCTTTACTGGTCCTCTGTCATCCTGCGTCTTGGGTGGCTGGCTCGTGTTTCCCCCGACTCCACTCCTCTTCCTCCAAGTCCTCAGTTTGATTGTTCCACCGAATCTTATCCTGCCTTGCCATAGGCCAAAGAGTTGATTATCAACCAATGAGAGCCACACACATTCACAGCACACAGAAGGACCGTCCCACAGCAGTTGTGAGCCACCATGTAGAAAGTGCTAGAAACTGACCCTGGGTCTTCCGCAAGAACAGAGAGTGCCCTGAAGCACAGAACCATCTCCCCATCCCCTTTGCTTTTATCTTTGTGTATATGTGGTGTGTCTCTGTGTATGTTTGCATAAGTGTGTGTCTGAGAAAGCTGGGAGAGGCTTTTGGGTCCTCTGGAGCTGGAGTTACAGGCTGGTGAGTCACCAGACGTGGGTGCTGGGGATCTGGCCTCTGCTAGAGCACGTCATACTCTTAAGCACTGAACCATCTCTCCAGCCCCTCAAAAAAATTTAAATCACATGTATTTATGTCAGTTTTGACAGGGGTTATGCTCTAGATTTCTCTACAACATTCACCATGTTTTACGTGTGACTGTGAGGGAACCCTCTTGAGGTTATCCCTAGCAGCACAAAAACAAATGAAAGAAAGATAAAGCAAATTTACAAGTTAAGTGAAACTTGGTTACCGACAAGATTAATTTAATATACAAGCATCCGCACTCGGTCGATTTTTCAGAGTGACACTTAATGAAGAGTTTACTCTCTGGAACTGAGACTATAAAGGGGAATCCCAAAACCCAAGTGAGCTTCTAGAATGTTTTGAATGAACACATACATCATGTGTAAGGGGGCAGAAGCATACTGTGTTAGAACAGGAAGGTGTCTTGGCTATGATTTAGGCCAATGGTAAACTCCTCAGGGCCACAGGTTCATCTGGGCAGACAAAACTAGTCTGGGCCTGTTTTCCACAAGCCATTCTATTCCATCCACTTTGCCGACTGGGGAGAAAATTGGTAACAGTGCTTGAGAGGCCACAGGAAAATATTCTTTCCCTTTCAAACCTAGCTTGGTGACCTGAATCACCTCCTGAGATTTGCTAGCCTTGAATTATAAGATCTACTCCATATTAAATGACATCATTCCTTATATTAATATAAAAGCATTTTTCCATACATTGATAAAAGCAAAATGGCTGATATCCCAATATGACATTCCTGAATTCATTGTTTCAATAAAAAGTTGAAATTGTTTACACATGGCATGGAAATTTCACCTGTGATTCATACTGAAAAATATTAAATATTAAAAAAAAACCCATGTGGAATAGCAGGAAACTGTGTCTCTGGGCCAGCACACCGTCAACTGTCTGCTCAGGCTTCACCATGGAAGGTGGGTGTTGAGTTGTTTTCAGAGACCACAGTGAACATTTCTCTCTTAAGTCTGATTTCAATCAAAAAAAGAGAAAATAAGCCTCCACTGAGGCCTTAACTGTTCGTTACATTGCACTACTGTGCGAGCGAGCATGGAATCTCAGGATTTGTAGTTCAGGGAGAAAAACTGGACTGTCTTTCCAGCCCCGGGAAACGAAGAGATGGAGGCTCCTGACGGCACATGGCCTCTCGGCTGCTCAGACCGGAGCCTCCTGGTTACACCTCTGTGCTCTCACCATACCAGTCTTCCTTCCGGTTTCAGCAAAGGGAACTAAAGGAGAAATGTTTATACTGTGGGGCTGGCCTGTGGCTCAGATGGTTGAGCGCTCTCTTTGCACACACAGAGCCTTGGGTTCGATTCCCTGCACCACATAAACTGGAGGCAGAAGCCTGCAATCCCAGCACTTAGGGGGTGGATGCAGGAGGACCAGAAGCTGAGGGTCATCTTGGGCTATATACTGAGTTAAAGGTCAGCCTGGGGTACATGAGACCCTGTCTCAAGAAAAAAAAAAGGTTCCTATCATATGTATTTCTATATGAATTCAGAGTTTAGTAATAAAATACAGGTACTACCTAAGAAGTCTAAAGGAGCACAGGTTTATAATAAAAGGATAACAATGCCTGCCCTCCAGGAGCAGCTGCTTCCAGCTGTTTCTTCCACATCTTCACCTTCCTAAACACTATTAACATCTCCCCCCACCCCCACCCCCACACACACAGCATCTACCGTGTTCCTGCTGTGGGAGAGGAGAATCCAGTCACCACACGCAGCTTCTTCCGCACAATCTCGTCCACTCTCACTAACCTCGGGGATTCGCTCTGTTCACTCACACACGCTTTCCTCTCACTGCCTTCAATAGATTCAGTAGCATTTCTTTTCTTTTCTTTTCTTTCTTTTTTTTTGAAACAAGGTCTCATGCATCCCAGGTTGGCCTGAAACTTGCTATATTCAAGGCTGGCCTTGAACCCTCAAATTTCCTGCTTCCATCTCCCATGTGTCTGATTACAGGCATGTGACACTACATCTGATTTCAGATCTCACTTTTTCTTAAATCAATATTCAATGTTGAACTTATCATGTCTCCATAAATACTGCTTAGTGCTGAGCCATAGAATGGACTGATTCTTCCTTTCTTGTTGCTTGTTTGAAATCAGTAAGATGCCATTTTTTTCTGCTTGCTGAATTTTTAAATGTACCTATCAATCAATACATACTCTCTTCAACTGTGATGAAACCTTAACTCTTCTCCATCTGATTAGACACACCACATCCATTCATTAAACCCAGTTCTCCCTGAAGAGATGTATATGGTGATATTCTATTTGTATTAAAATGTTATTTGTATGTTAATAAATAAAGTTGCCCGGGGGTCAGAGCTATTAGCAAGCCATAGGAAAGCTGGGTGGTGGTGACGTATGCTTGTAATCCCAGCACTTGGTAGGCAGAGCTAGGTAAGTCTCTGTGTGGTCAAGGATATACAGCCAGCATTGGATACACACACCTTTAATCTCAATACCAACCATAGAAGACCTGGAGGTCTATACAGACAGGCAGTGACAAGGCGGTCATGTGGTTGGGTTTACAACCAATGAGAAGGCAGAATAGAAAGTCTATATAAAGACTTTAACACAGGAAGTAGGTCTCTTTCGGAGAGGTAGGACCACTGCAGGAGGAAGGGTAAGGTCTTAGCTCTTAGCTCTGACCTCTTGGTTTTCTTCTTTGCATTGGTTCTGTGTTTCTTATTTAATAAGACCGTTGGTTACATCTACATATGTATTTTCTGAAATAAAGTGAATCAGTTCACTTATTGGAGTTTCATTTTTCCTATGCATAAAGTGGGGATGTTTCTTGCTCAAAGCACACAGTGTGGCCCAGGCAAGTATTCAAGCAAACAGCCTTACAATCATCAATATGCAGGCACATTCCTTCTGTTTGATCCCCACAGCATCTACCACTAGGCTGGGCTTAAAACTTGCTCAATAATGGCTGGTTACTTAACTAATTAGAAGGGAATTGGCAAAGAAAGGAATGAGTTACTTCTCATCAAAGGGCAACATCTGAAGTATAATGCTCAAGTCTTTAAATGCTAATTTTGACTCTGACTGGAGAGGCAGTGATAAAAACACACACATTAATAGCTTCAAAATAATAATACAGGAAAATGGAAAGGCTGACATATGATGTGGGTGGTCAGAAACCTGAGTGACAGATCCCACTTGGCTGTGTGGCTATGTGTGAATTTCTTCCTGGGTTGAGTCAGTCAAATATTTTCAAGCCTTTAAAAATTCACATTCTTTAACAAGTTACCCTGGTAAGGGATTGTCAAAAACAGAAAGGGGAAGAAAAGAGAAAAAGGGCAAACTGGAAAAGAAAGGCACGGGGAAAGAACTGGGTTCACTGAGTTCCGACATCTCCTTCACCCTGTCACTCAGCCGGCACACCTTCTGGTGTCCGGTGGGCGAGCTGTCTCTGGAACCACACATTTGGACAGAACCCTTCTTACCATGTAAGCCCTCCAGCAAGTTATGGAACCAAGAGGACCAAAGGCATTTGCCTTCTGGCCTGCTGTGGAAACTGATGCGTGTAATGGCAGTTCTTGGTTGTCAACTTGACTACATCTGGTATTAACTAAAGCCTGAGCTGCTGGGTACACTTGTGAGGGGTTTTTCTTGACTGGATCATTTGGGGCAGGAAGATCCACCTTAAATCTGGGCTATACTTCACTCTTGCTGGTAAATTCATTTCTTCTCTG